AATAGAGAGAGATTAATAGTCGTTTTAACATTATTAAAATACTTATAGAGGGACTTTGGCCTCACATACTCCCCCTTTTTGATGATGTCAAAACAATGCTCAAATATGCTCCCCCTGAGTTTGTGCATTCCGTTTGCAAGCTATGTATAATCTATGCTCCCCCTGAGTTTGTGCGTTCCATTTGCAAGCTATGTATAGTCTTCTATGTTCACTTCTCCCCCTTTGAAAACATCAAAAAGAGAAAAAGCACAAGGTCAAGAGTAACAAAATATACCAAATGCAACATCATTTTCCATTTGCAACTAAAAACACCAACAATCATTCACATAAAATGAAATTAGTGTGGATCATAAAATGCAATAATTAGACAAATGTATGTAGAATATTTCAAACCAGTCAATAAGGATAAGTGCATGAGGTTAAAAAAAATAACATAAGAACTTAAATAGAATTACATATATATAAATATGAATCAATTCTCTAGGTTGCCGGTATCATTGTTTTCTGGAGCATCAGGTGGAAGGTTTGGAAAATGCTGAAGAAAGGTGGAATGAAGGGAGGCAGGGTTCTCAGCTTGTGATTGAAGTATGCCTTCCAACGTGGAGTACCGCTGATCTTGAATATTTGAATATTCGTATTGGACTTTGACAAGGTTGTAGATGTTCGAAATCCTTTCATTTTGAAGGAATGCATCTTCCTTTTGTTGGATCTGCATTTTCTCCAAAAGAGCTATCACATTGGCATTGTTTTCTTAAGGAACCGGGACATCCTCGTCCATATTTTCTTCATTTTCTTCTTTCTCAGACTCTTCTTCTTCATTATCATTGAGTTGATGCACAGATTGAATTTTCTCAAAAATACGTGTTTCTAGAGATCTTCATTCAATTGCAAGATTGTTTATAGGACCAACCCAAATAGAGAGAGATTAATAGTCGTTTTGACATCATTAAAATACTTATAGAGGGGCTTTGCCCTCACAGAATCTGTCAAATTAAGCTCTCGGAGATTTCTTATGACCATAAAGAGACATGTGTAGCCTACAAACCATATTCAAGGACTCCCCCTGAGCCACAAAACCATGTAGTTGCTCCATATATACTTCATCTTCAAGATCACCATGTAAACATGCCTTTTTGATATCAAGTTGATGAAGAGGCCAATGTCGAATAGATGCAATGGTTATAAGAAGTCTAACGGATACCATCTTGGCTATATGGGAGAAGATATCACTATAATCCAACCCAAAAATGTGAGTGTATCCATTGACTACCAAGTGAACTTTAAACCGATCGATCTTACCATCTGGTTCAACCTTCATTGTATAAAGCCAACGATAACCTACTACAGACTTCCCAGAAGGTAGAGGCACTAGTTCCCAGGTACCACTACTTTGAAGAACACACATTTCATCTACCATTGCTTGCCTCCACTCAGCGTGAGATAATGCTTCACTTGGAGTATTAGGAACAGAAACAGAAGACAAAGAAGAAAAATAAATATACTGCAAAGGGGAAAGACAATGATAACATAAATCAATATAATATGGAGAAGGATTGTGTGTTTGATGTATACCTTTTCGAAGGGCAATCAAAATATCGGGCTCAGGTTGTAGAATCGAATTCGATGATGGCGAAGGCATCAAAGGAGAATCTGCAATGACCTCAGGAACAGGTACTGCTGAGGGATGGGTACGACAGATATGGGTTGGCAACGCTGATATGTTTGAAGTGGGAAAGAAGTGGGAGGTCAACCATAGGGTTTTTAGTGGGCCAGGTTTCCTAGAATGATGGGGGATAATGGGAAATAGGACTTCAAGAAGAGGTGTGGAAGTACTTTTCTGAAGGGATTATGGAATTACTTGGCCGGACTTGAAATATGAAATAAACTCGAAAAAGATAACATCGACTGATACGAGGTATCATTGTAGAGTATGTGAGTAGCAACAATAACCCTTTTGTGATCGATAATAACCAAGAAAGACACACTTTAGTGACTGGGCTAATAACTTATCAAGACCATGGGAGATATTGTATACAAAATACGTAGACCGAACACTCGAGGAGGAATTGGGTGAAGAAGATAGTTTAGAAACAAGATTGAATGAGGGATTTTATTATTAAGAACGAATGAAGGCATGCGATTTATGAGTTAACATGCCGTGAGCACAGCATCCCCCCAAAACCAAAGTGTAACATTACCATAGAGAAGTAGGATCTGAGTGATTTTTATGAGATGTCAGTTTTTACGTTTGACTACCCTATTTTATTGAGGTGTATAAGGACGAAATGTTTGGTGGAGAATACCATTACTAACATAAAAGTTTAAAATTGTTGGGATAAGTATTTCCTTATAAAACTTTTCAAAAAGAGAAAATAATTTTGACCTATTTTTCATTAAAAATAACCATGTGCAACGTGAAAAATCATCAATAAAGATGACAAAATACCTAGACTCAAGAGTATAGCCAATACGTGAGAGACCCCAAACATCAGAGTAAACTAAAGCAAAAGGAGACGAAGCTCGTTTATTGACTTGATTAGAAAATTGACTACGATTGTGTTTCTCTGACTGACACGATTCACAATGTAAATTAGATACCTTTGATAAACTTGACACTAACTTTTGTAGTTTGGGAAGACTAGGATGACCTAATTGAGCATGGATAGTGAGTGGAAAATCTTTAACTGAATATATCTGAGATGACACTGAGAGGTAATAAAGGCCTTGAGACTCACATCTGACGCCAATCGTCTGTGCCAAACTCTAATCCTGCAGGGTGACATTACTATCAATGAAGGTGACAATACAATCAAGAGAACGAATTAAACAACTGACTGAAAATAAATTAAATGGACAATTAGGTACATAGAAAACAACAGTAACAGAGAGAGAAGATAGAATTTAAACAGTATCAATTCCTTCGGATTGGGTTTGAGAACCATTGACAGAAGTTATAGTAGGTAAGAAACCAGAAGTAGATAAGGAAGATAAAAGATTTTTATTACCGATAACATGATCAGATGCACCAGAGTATAGAACCCAAGGTCCAAGAGAAGATGATTGAGAGAGGCAAGCAGATGAATTATCAGTATGGACAATCGAAGCAGTAGAATTTGAGTTCTAATAATATTGATATCAGCTGAGAAAATTGTTGTAGTTTGGCGTAAAGTTTCAAGGAGTAGCCATGAGAATCTGAAGAGAGAAAATATCACACGAATCGGGTGAATAAGACTATGTTCGGACTGGATCACAATTTTCTGTGGGTGAAAAATAAAATCTGAGACGGATCTGAAACAGTTGCACGGTGGAAATTGAGGCAGTGGAAAAATCGTCGAGATCGGAGGAGGTGCTTATGCTAGTATGATTAGTTTGTCAGAAGGTCACCGAAAAACAGTAGCAGACGATGGCAGACGGTGGCCGCAGTACAAGGGGACCGAAAAATTTCAAAAACTGATGTTGAAATGAATCACGACAGTGTATGAAAGACAAACCAGTTATAACAAGATTTGCCAAAAATTTCTCACCGAAAAACTAGGTCAACCAGGTAAAACACAACGAAAGATTGTCTCTTAATAGATTCTGAATACCATATTAAAATACGAAAGACTAAGAGACATTTGAATAAACCGTTTGTGTGTTTGAATAGCACGGCGAAAAATGCATTATATAAGAGAAAACACAAATCCTAATATTAATTATATACATTCTATTAAGAAATAATCTAAGAAATATTCTCTTTATATACATATAATATATATATATATATGTATGTATCAACACAGCTTTGATTTTGTATACTGTCTGGTATGAAACTGTCCCTCAAATCAAACATGACATCTATTTTTTTTAAATCAAACTTGAGCTACCATTCAGACGGTCTACTCCAAAAATATAAACATGAAAATGGCCACCTCCTCTTGCATTGCATGAAGTGGCGGATGGAAGCCAAGTCAAATCTCACAAAGGTACAGTATAGAAAAAGGAAGAAGAAAATGTGCTGTCATTGTCATTATCATCAACATCACAATGACGAGAGTTTCCACGCGTTGAATTAGTCATCAATAGTATCTAGTAGTACGAGGTGGGGATTCTCCACGCACATGTAAATGACCCCTCTCATATAAATGTTTCTCCTTCCCTTCCCGCAATGCAATGTCTCTCATCCTTCACGGGGGGAAGTAGTTTAATCAAGTGGACAATTTTTATTATTTTTATCAGTTAACTAAAAATTCCATGACTTTCTTTCAACTGATTCCCCATCGTCATGGTCATGGACAAGCCCTTCATGATCTGGTAATTCAGCTCAGTGGCCTAATTAACATACACAATCTATCTAGGATTAGATTTGACCTCGTCCCTTTAAAAATAGTTTCATTTCGTAACCAATATATCAGATTATACTTGTGTTATCCAACTCATTCTATATATCAGATTATACTTGGGTTATCCAACTCATTTTATATATCAGATTATACTTGTGTTATCAAACTCATTCTATACATATACATACATGAAGCGAAAAGACAATTTGTGATGGGGAGTGGGGACTAACTAAAATGGCAAAGTAATAGAACAACCAAATGACAAGAAAAATGATAGCAATAAACAAGCAGGATAATCATAATTAGCACTTGTGGTTATAATTCCTCTGGCCACATTTGACTTTTTCTACAAATTATCGCAATAGTACATTAGCAAGCTAAGCTACAACGTTATATTACAACCCCAACCAATTATGAACACAATCTTATCCTGTCAAAGTAAAATCACCGTCAATATAATCCAACCATGTCTCCTTAGTTTACAGTATCTGAAATATAAAATCAGAATGCATGCTACCTATTAAAACCTATGTATATATTCAGCCTTTGATCCGAGTGATTTTGATTAGATATATTTACATCAAGATGATGTTACATGTTAGGACTTCCCTCTTGCCCAATAAAGCCAACTGGCCATATATTAACAGTGGGGATGACAAGAGTAATACCTGCAGAGAATCAATCAAATGCTATGGGAATGAAATTATCATCATCTAAAAGCATATCAATATCGATCAAATCCTCTACACCATCAACAGTCTCTTCAGAACTGATCAAACCCATATTAGAATCCTGCCAGATATAAAATGATTGTGAGCATGTCATTAAGTCTAAAATATAGTTTAGATATTTTCTGATGCAAGAAAATTTACCTTCTTTTGACGGAAGTCTTCGACAACATTTAGCACGCGCCGGTATTGAGCCCGTGCCTCCGGATACTGGACCATGGACTTCACCCTAGAAAGAGCCTTTTGGATCTTTTCCTCTTTTTGTTTTCGTCCTTCCTTTAGAAAATCATAATCATCCTCTTTCGAAGAATCATTTGGTTGACTGGGGGCTTTATTAAGGGATTCTGGTCGAAACCCACGTAGACCACTACCCTTGCGTCTCCAGCGTAATATAACCTTCTCCAGGATTCCCACCGACCAGATGACAGTTTTATACTGCTTCCTTACCTGATGACCTCTTACATGGGCCTTAAAACCACAAAATTAGAGAGTCAGTGGAAACAAATCGCATAGGGAAGGATAGAAAAATTATAGATAGCAAAAAGGAAACAATGAAAACAAGATGCCTTTTTCTTTTGGGGGTGCATAAGTGCAAAGCACCACCGTGGGGAAATGGCAAAGTTGGCTTGGCGAACATCAACATTACCTACAACTTGGGCTAGAGGCAATTGAACTACAAGCTCGTTGGTAGTCCCGGAATATCTTGTCTAGTAGCTTTAAAATACTATTTTGAGAATATTAGTTGTTTCTCACCAATTTGAAGATTTTTATTTTATTCCTTTACCGGTAGTGGCAGTAGGGTGATTAAGGAAATACTTCAATGAAATTGTGCTAAAGATGATAGATTAATATTACTCTGGTATTCGTCAGTTGAAGTAAAATGCCACTTCAACGGTTCTTAATTCCCCTTGAATCTTCCATGAGATAGGAATAGGATCACTTGTAAGGCCTCAACTTGGTGCCCCCAAGCATATGATTTGATGAGGAGGTTTTATCGCATGTAAATGCATTGAAAGATGAACAGAATATGAAGAATTTTTCAACACGTGTGCATTGCCTTCTCAAGTTTGAAAATTAAAATGTGTGATCCACGTGTACATGAAAGTTATCAACGGGGTAAACATAGATGGAAAAGCATGTTCAAATATCTCTTATTTAGTATTATTTATTTTCTTTTTTAAGAGTTATTATATTACTTTTAAGAGTCCTTATATCACTCCTAAAATAAAGGAGCAGACCTTGTATTTTCTCTCTTATAAAAGGACCCCTTTTTCCTTCATAAGAATTCAGACAATTATCACCCGTATACTTTTCTACATGATATCATGAGCTTTGTTAGGGTTATGGTGATACTGTAAAGCTTCCCCGAAAAAAATTTGGCGACATGTTCTTTTATTCGACCCGACCGATCCAAACGATGGTTGACCCTACCCAAACACCACCTCCTCCTGGAGGTCGTGGAGGCGGCGGCGGCGCCAACAACAATTCCAACGGCGGCGGCGCCAACAACAATTCCAACGGCGGCGGCGCCAACAACAATCCCAACGGCAGCGGCGGCGCCAACAACAATTCCAACGGCAGCGGCGGCGCCAACAACAATTCCGGAGACACCAACTATTCCGGCCGAGGAAGTGGATTTACCATGACAAAAATGTTCAGTTTCATGACAAACAATTTTAACGGTGGGTTCGGTTATGGTAGAGGTGATCCCAACAACAACCTTTTTGGGTCCATTATGGCTATATCCATTTGATGGTGGTTACAGTAACTCAGGAGGTGGAAATCAAAATAACTCTCTTCAGGTTAATGTTCAGAAACTGGATGGCTCAAACTACGTCGAATGGTCCCAAACTGTTCGACTTATTCTAGAAGGCAAAGGGAAGTTGGGTTTTCTTACAGGAGGTGTTCCGGTGCCATCAACAACACATCCTAATTACAAGTTCTGGAAATTTGAAAACTCTTCTATTATTGCTAGGCTTGTTAATACTATGGAGGTAAGTATGAGAAAAACATACATGTATCTGCCTACAGCAAAAGATGTTTGGGATGCTGTAAAACTGTCTTACTCTGATATTAAAAGTTTCTCTCAAATTTATGATCTAAAATCAAAGTTATGGAATTTAAAGCAGAATGACATGGATGTCACTACCTACTATAATGAATTGATGGCCCTTTGGCAAGAGTTGGATCAGTGCTATGATTATAACTGGCGGTGTACGGAAGACAATGTTCATTTTATTAAGACGCAGGAGAACGACCGTGTCGTTATTTTTCTTGTTGGTCTCAACAAGAAACTCGATGAAGTAAGAGGTAGAATTCTTGGAAATAATCCGCTGCAAACTATTCGAAAAACTTTTTCAAAAATCAGAAGGGAGGAAGCTAGACAAAGAGTAATGATGGGAAAGTCAAACTCAAGCAACAGATGGTTTTGCCCTTGTCACAAACAACTTCAATGAAGACAGCAAGAAATATGGTAAGATGGTAAACTCGGGTGTGATGACTGCGAATGTTATTATCACACACGTGAGACTTGTTGGAAAATTCATGGAAAGCCTCCTAATTGAAAAAAGAAGGATGAGGGTCGTGCACTTCGAACAACTTCTGGTCAAGAGCCACAATCTTCCCCAAATGCATTTCCATTCACTGAGGAACAGCTAGACCAAACGTACAAACTCCTTGAGTCGCAAACACCTTCGTGCTCCATAGCCCAGAAAGGTAACTTCCCAAAATCAACTCATCTTAGTGTCATTCTTAATCGTACATGGATCGTTGATTCTGGAGCCACCGATCATATGACCAGTGAATCCAGTTTATTTTCTTCATATAAACCATGTGCAGGAAATTCCAAAATTAAAATAGCTGATGGCTCTCTTTCAGCCGTGGCAGAAAAAGATTCTATTGTTTTGTCTCCCTTACTAACCATCCAAGATGTGTTACATGTCCCAAATTTGTCTTGCAGCTTATTATCTGTCAGTAAGCTAACCATAAATAAAAATTGTCAAGCTCATTTCTTTGATACTCATTGTGTATTTCAAGATTTGATCTCGGGGAGGGTGATTGGCACTGCTGAGGAAAGTGGTGGACTCTACTACTTGAAAGATGAACCAAAAACCAGACATCGACTTGAACCAACAACCAGACATCAATTTGAACCAATAAGTTTTTCTTCTGTTAAATCCTATTTTGTTTCAAATAATAAGGATGACATTATGTTGTGACATTTAAGGTTAGGCCACCCTAGTTTTAAATATATAAGTTCATTGTTTCTTAAACTTTTTGTTGAACATGACATTTTTTCACTTCAATGTGAGGTTTGTGAGTTTGCTAAACATCATCGAAGTTCTTTTCCAATTCAATCTTATAAACCTTCAAAACCTTTTTCAATGATTCATAGTGATATTTGGGAGCCTAATCAAACAAGTACTTTATCCAACAAAAAATGGTTTATCACTTTCACGGATGATCATACTAGACTTTGTTACATATAAGGGGTTGTTGAAAGAAAAATCTGAGGTAGGTCAAATAATTCAAAACTTTTGTAAATTGGTGCAGACACGGTTTAACACCCAAATACAAGTGTTTAGAACTGACAATGGTATTGAATTTTTTAATAAAATTGTTGGAAATTTTTTTCTTGAAAATGGAATTGTGCATCAAAGTTCATGTGTTAACTCACCCCAACAAAATGGGATTGCACAGAGGAAAAACGGACACCTTCTTGAAGTTGCACACCCCAACAAAATGGGATTGCACAGAGGAAAAACTGACACCTTCTTGAAGTTGCACACCCCAACAAAATGGGATTGCACAGAGGAAAAACAGACACCTTCTTGAAATTGCACGAGCACTACTCTTCTCTACCAATGTCCCTAAATATTTATGGGGTGGAGCTGTCTTGACAGTTACACATTTAATAAACTGTATGTCATCCCGTGTTTTGAAATTTCAAACTCCGTTGCAAAGTTTCTTGAAATATTTTCCAATTGATTCAGTTCTATCTAATTTACCACTTAAAATATTTGGATGCACAACTTTTGTTCACGAACACAAACATCTTGGTAAACTTGAACCCCAAGCAATCAGATGTGTTTTTATTGGGTATCATCTTCTCAAAAAGGTTATAAATGTTTTGATCCTAATACAAAAAAAAATATTTGTATCAATAAATGTTACTTCTTTTCAAAACAAACCTTCTTTTGGTAATGATCATCTTCAGGGGGAAAACAAATGTAGATGTATACTGATCTTAATGTTTCCATAGCCTTTAGGAAGCCAGGTAGGCCATGTACTAGGCACCCCTTGTCTAACTTTGTATCATATTCAAACTTGTCTCCCTCTTTTGCTGCATTTACTTCTAATCTATCTAGTGTTAACCATGTACTAGGCACCCCTTGTCTAACTTTGTATCATATTCAAACTTGTCTCCCTCTTTTGCTGCATTTACTTAGATTAGTGTCAAAATTCTTAAGAATGTACAGGAGGCTCTAGAAATTCCAAAGTGGAAGGAAGTTGTTTTTGAGGAGATGAAAACTCTTGAAAAGAATAAAACTTGGTGTGCCACAACTCTGCCGGCAGGTAACAGAACTGTGGGATGTAAGTGGGTGTTCACAATAAAGTACAATTCTGATGGATCAATCGGAAGGTACAAAACTCGATTGGTTGCAAAAGGATTCACTCAGACCTATGGCATAGATTACTCAGAGACCTTTGCTCCTGTTGCAAAGCTTAACACAATTAGAATACTCTTATCCCTTGCTGCTAACTTAGACTGACCTCTCCATCAACTAGATGTCAAAAATACCTTTCTCAATGGTGATTTAGAAGAAGTATATATGGATTGTCCTCCAGGTTTTGAAGAAACCTTTAGGTCACAAGTGTGTAAGCTAAAGAAGTCCTTGTATGGGTTGAAACGATCTCAGAGAGCTTGGTTTGAAAAGTTTACTCAGTCTGTGAAGAAACAGGAATATACTCAAGGACAAGCAGATCATACTTTATTCACAAAGTCAGGTCAAAATGGAATGATAATTGTTTTGATAGTCTATGTTGATGATATTATTCTTACAGGTAATGATGAGATAGAAATGGAGAGATTAAAAAGAAACTACGCAGCAGATTTTGAAATCAAAGACTTGGGTCCCCTCAAATATTTCTTTGGCATGGAAGTAGCAAGGTCAAAGAAAGGAATTGTTGTTTCTCAGAGAAAATATGTTCTTGATCTCCTACAAGATACAGGTATGAGTGGTTGTAAGCCTGCCGACACACCGATGGACCAAATTGCCAAACTTTGGGAGAAAGGGGACATACCAATTAACACTAGGAGATATCAGAGGTTGGTTGGAAAATTAATATATCTGGCTCATACTCGTTCTGACATTGCTTTCTCTGTTAGTGTTATGAGTCAATTCATGCATGAACCATATGAAGAACACTTTGAAGCGGTACACAAAATCTTGAGATACTTAAAAGCAACTCATGGAAAAGGGTTATTCTTCAAGAAGACCAATTTAGGTTATTGCACATATGTGTGGGAGAACCTTGTGACTTGGAGAAGCAAAAAAAACAAGGAGTAGTTGCAAGAAATAGTGCTAAAGTTGAGTTTAGAGCAATGGCCCAAGGAATTTATGAAGGTGTGTGAATTCTCAAAGTCCTAAAAGAACTGAAGGTAGAGGTAGAACCTCATTGAAATTGTATTGTGACAACAAGGCAGCTATAAGCATAGCTCATAATCCTGTTCAACATGATCGTACAAAACATATCGAGATCGACCGTCATTTCATCAAAGAAAAGATTGACTTTGGTACTCTCTGCTTGCCATTTATCCCTTCCAATCAACAGACCGCTGATATATTGACCAAAAGCTTGGAAAGAACAACATTTGAATATTTGATCAGCAAGTTGGGCATGATTGACATCTATGCACCAACTTGAGGGGGGGTGTTGAAATATCTCTTATTTAGTATTATTTATTTTCTTATTTAAGAGTCATTATATTACTTTTTAAGAGTCACTATATCACTCCTAAAATAAAGGAGCTGACCTTATTTTCTCTCATATAAAAGGAGCCATTTTTCCTTCATAAGAATACAGACAATTATCACCCATATGCTTTTCTACAAAGTAAGTATTAGAAGTTATGAAAATATGTATCTAATATGATTAGCTCTTTATATTAAAGTATCAAAATTCTAAAATCATATCTTAAGATTAGTTTCATATTTTTTAGTTATTATCCTAACCTGTTTTCCTATTTAATTAAGATAACTCATGTAGTAGTATAAATAAGGGTTGGTGCTTAATCTTTTGTATCAACAATTATGGCAAACTATAATCATAACTCAAAGTCTCCATTTTTTTATCCCCTCTTTATAAAACTTTAACAGTACTACAAAAGCATTTTTGCATTCTCAACCTGAGTTTTATCGAACAAACTCTCCAATATAATCAATTTTGCACCTTATATAAGAACATCTAATCCATGCAAAATAATGTCTGTAATTTTAAAATTGAATGAAGTAAATAGAACAGATCACTGAACCTGGATTTTAACAATTCTTTGCCGAATGATCAAGAACTCTTTCCTCTTCTTCCAACCACGAAACTTCTTCTGTATTTGAGTTGCAGCGGTATTGAATAAACCATCTCCTTGTCCTGATTTGCTCGACTTAGAAGTTAGTAGGGAAAGAGCCTGCTGATCTAACAAACCAAACTCATCATCCTCATTCTGAGTTAACTGCTTCCTCTGAAAGGACTGCATTCTGAATACTTGATGTATGCGATCGGCAGCTTGTGTAGCATTGCGGACAGCAGTTAGAGAATCCTTAAGACAGAGAGCATCAGGCATATCATTATAGACCACAGGTGTTGCACTTCGCTCCAAAACTGTCTGTACTGTTTTCATTCCTGGAACTTCTTGCTTACCACCTTTTTGTTGATCATCCACTGTGAGGGTTTCAAGGTGGCTTGTTAATGAAGACTCCGCTAGAAAACCAGAGAGTCCTTTGTGCCCATTGCTAGAGGCGAGATCTGCAGCTGTTCTACCTGAAGGAAATTCTGGAGACGGATCTGTTAATGCTCCACAATCGGCACCCATGGATACAAGGACAGCAACTGTCCGCTCTCTGAACAAAGGAAGACAGAAGATATATGAAGCGATTTAAGTTATGCTTGAACATAATACTGAGAAAAATTATAGAAAGTTCTGTGATCTTCCTTTAACTGGCCAATCTAATTGCTTTAGGGATAGCTCAAAGTGACTAATGTATACGCATAAGGAAAACTGCTGTAATGTTTAGCATCCAACAGTTTAAAAAACAGAAGGGGGAAGGGAAGGCAAGAATTCTGTTCATGCAACATACATAAATTTTCCTAAATCAGCTACATATGCTAAGGACAAGCTAAATTTGCAAACAAATTCAGTTCAGAAAGTCTTAAAATATTAAAACAAGAGTAGCAAAGGAACGTCTAACCAAATTAGCGGACAGACTTCTGTTATGCTCAGTCAACTTAATACAATAAAAAGGGAGGGGGGGAATTGTCAGGTACCCTAACCTGCCACAAGATGCCGCCCAATGCAAAGCTGTCCATCCATTCACATCACGAAAGTTGATACTAACTCCAGCAGTTAAAATTGGGGTTATTGCCCAGTCATAACCAAGAACAGCTGCTAAATGTAGCACGCCCTGCCCATCCTTATCTAACACATTTGGCCCTTTACCACTCTCAGTAACCTTATGAAGCAGCCACGAGTACAGTTTCTCTTTAACCTGCCTGTGAAACAGAGACTGCTCTTCCTTACTTGAATATTCTTCTTCCTCTCTTAGTGAAATAAGCTTAGGAATTAAGTTCATTTTCTCCACACCGCCCTCAAAGGTTTGATTTAAAGTGTGCGCTGGTTTTAAAGAAAGAAACTCCTCCAGTCGCAAATGAAGTATCATGCCAGCCGAGCTGTTGAAAAACTCGGTATAATCTACATTTCTAGAATAGCCCTCTCTGAAATCAAATTCACGCACTTCGCTGCAAGCTAACCTATTGGAACATGTTACATAGAAAGGGACCCGGCCAACCTTATGAGGAGGAGCTTTACAGCACAGAATTCCATTAGCTACAACCTCAGCAGGAACCTCAACTTCCCCAAACATACAGGACCAGTTACAGGTTGTCACGTCTGATTGACTTTTCAAAAACGATCCAATAATCAACACCTGCGCAGTTTTGGAAAGGATGAGATACTGAACAAACTCAACTTAGTTCTTTCTTGATTCATCTTTGGATTGGAGATTCAAATAGAAAGAAGTGCAGCCAATAATCAAATATAGCATACTAAAGGAGGAAAAAAAAAAGAAGATTGTAAAGACGCATTACGAAATACCAAAATGTAAGAAATACTACAACAAAAATTACAGAATGGAGATCATTAAAAATAAGATATTAAGAGAGAGAAAACTGCTTGCATCTAACCAGAGGGAGAGTCGTTGGTATCTTAAAATGCCACATATAATACATATTTATTATCATCATAGAAGGAAACCAAAGAGTAAGTAAGTGATTGCTGAACTTTTCAATTGTAATAATGGATGGTAACAGAGTAAGAATTGATATTTTGTCATTTCACCATTTACTGTCTTTTTTTATTATTGAAAGTGTTATCCCAGAAATAAGTACCTCAATATCTGACTCAGCACAAGCCCATTTAGGTGAAAAATCATTTATGCTATATAGTTGGTCCTGAGACAGCGATGGGCTCAGTGAGGTATCATCTATCACATGCCCACATTCATCTGTACTCCATGAAATACCACTTGAGGATTGCATATTCAAATTATCCACCTCGCCAAGTGCTTTAGTAATCCATCGATTGAAACTATCAACTTTCCTCAAGCTCTCATCCCTATCCAATAATGTGCGCCTCGCAGATAAGGGATAGCTAATAGTTTCTTCGCTAGGAACTTCACCTGTAGAATTGGACTTGAGGTCATCTTGCTGTTGTTCGTCTACCTTTTCTTCCAGATAGTTTCGCTGTGCAAGCTTCTCTTTTGGCTCACCGTGAAAACCAAACATGACAGGATCAATTTCAGAACTTTCATTACGATCTTCATTCCCTAGTAAACCAGTTCCATAATCAGATTCAAATTCCAAACTCAATGATTGGGTAAAGGTTGGCATGTAGGTTGGCATGTGTCCTGTGTTGTCATCAAAAGGAATCTGTGTCCAATCAACAACAGTATGAAAATAGTTAAATTTTTGTCGCCTAAAACTTATAAA